GTTTTTGAATTGGTACTTTATTTTTCCAATTTTTCAGTCTGGCTTTTTAAGGAAATCAGCCTCAATTGTCAGTGAGATGCCCACTCACAGCCAATCACGGCTCTAATCCCTTCCTCTACTTTTTCTTTCAATTTAGGCATAATAGAGGCATGCATGTATTGTTCAAACAGAGGTTTTCCTGGATTTTAATACAAATATAAAGTTAACATGTGTCAAAGAGATGATTTAGCCCATCAATTAATGAGGGGAACCAGAAATATGTTACAACTGGTTCCAAAGGGAATTCAAAACAAACACACACCCATATAACTAATCAGGAATGCTGGATTTACGAATAATGCAAAACTGGACAATATCCACCAGGCAGCAATTAGGTGAATCTCCGTAACACAGCTTGCATTTCTATGAACAACAATTATCTGCATTACTGTCAGTAGTCTACGATATAGAGTTGTGAAATAGTTCAAAGATAGCCCCCAGACACCCGGTAAAGTGTGGGAGAGGAAGGGGCAAGGGAGGAAGGGTATAGAGGCTCTTCCATGCCATGGACAAGAGTTTGGACTTTCTTTTATAGGTGACTGAAAATTACTGAGCAGTTTTAAATAGAAGATGACATGATCAGATCTTGTTTCTGGAACATTTCTACAGTGGCAGTGGGGAGAAGAGGATGAAGGGTGGTGACCACAGAAGTAAAAGACCAGACCAGTAAGGAGGCTGTGCAAAGAGTTTCAAAAGAAAATTGCAAGGGAGTGATGGTGGAGATGGATTTGAAAGGTATTTTAGAAGTTAAAAACAAAGAATGAACTTTGGGTGAGAAAAGGAAGAAAAGGAAGGCTTCAAGGACTTCTTTAGGTTAGCTGAGTAGCTAAGTGGATAGTGATCCCATTCACTGGGAGGTGAGTCATAAATATTGAGTAGTTACTATGGGCAAAGCACTTCCTGGGAATTCAGTCATGAACAAGACAAAGTCCTTGCTCTACAGCAGCGCTTCTCAACCTGTGGGTCACGACCCCTTTGGGGGTCAAACGACCCTTTCACAGGGGTCGCCTAAGACCATCGGATAACAAAAAGATATTTACATTTTGATTCATAACAGTAGTAAAATTACAGTTATAGAGTAGCAAAGAAAATAATTTTATGGTTGGGGGTCACCACAACATGAGGAACTGTATTAAGGGGTCGCGGCATTAGGAAGGTTGAGAACCGCTGCTCTAAAGGAATTTGCACTGTTTTTATAAAGTGAACAGAAGAATAACTATAAAATTAATTGTAATAAGTGGGAAGAAAAACCCAAGGGACTTAGAGAAAAATAGCAGAGATCAACTTTGATTACGATGTTAAAGGAAGGCCTCTCTGAGCAGGTGACTTTTAAGGCCTAACAGATGTGAAAAAAAACAGTATATAATGAACATGTGTGCACAAGCTCTTGTGCTGGGGAGAGGCAGGCACCTCAGGCAGAGGAAACAGCAGGTGTGAAGGCCCTGGAGTGAGAAAGTGCTTGCGGAGCTTACGGGATAGAAAGACCAGTTGGCTAGAGCAGTGATGAAGTGTTGAATGGTAGACTTTGAGTTTGTAGAGGCCAGATCACATAGAGGCTTGAAAGACACGTTGGTGAGAACAGTCCTGCCAGAAAGGGAATTGATTCATGGTAAGAGAGACAGGGAGAGGGAGAGAACCACCACAGAAGGTGAGGGGATGGATCCTGAGCACAGGTGGAAGGATTGGGCTTCTTCCATTTTGTGAAATGAGAAGATGGGTTCAAGTTTAGGCAGATCTGCAGGTTCTGTGGTGTGAAGTTGAGGAAGTTCATATGTAATGATTCCTATTTGCTTAAGTATAAGCAAAGTCATCAGCTGAGGAAGAGTGTGGGGGGACAGGGTATGAGAGCTTTGAAAATATAATGAAAGGAATCAACTAGTCAGCTCGGGAAGTGGGAGAGTGAACTACTAGGGAAACACAGGTTGTTGGGCAGTGTGAAGTGCCAATTTGAGGTTGAAATTTTGAATATGAAGTGAGGCCAGTGAGCACAGCTGTGTAATTTTCTCTAGCAACGTTTAGCCGCACAGTGTAATTACAAAGGATGGATAGTAGGGTTCATCTTGGGTTGGGGTTTTGCTAGGCCAACTATATTTGTAAATGAGGTCAACCATGACCTCTTGACAACCATGTGTCAAGAGACTGGGTATGGAAGCCAGGTTGAAATGGGTTAAGAAATAAATGAAACTTAGAGGCAGGGAATTCAAAGGACTCTTTCAATAGCGTTGCTATGAAGGGCTGGGTAGAGAAATACAAGGGAAAACTGGTTAATAAAGAGTTTTCTTTCCCACATTGGGAGGTAAAATTAGGGAACAGGGAGATTAAAGGTATAGGAGAGCAAAGGCCTAACTAATAGGTCAGTCTTGGTGGAGACAGAAGCTGGAATTAGAAAAACAGGGAAGGGGGACTGGCCCAGTGGCTCATTTGGTTGAGTTAGCTTAAAAGCTCTGAGCAACAGGGCCGCTGGTTCGATTCCCACATGGGCCAGTGATGCTGTGCCTGAGCTGAGCTGCCGCTGAGCTGCCAACAGGTGACAGGAAGGCTCAGCTGGTGAGAGCACATGCTCCTAACAACAAGACTGCCTGTTCGAGATGGTGGGCTATGCCCACCCGCAACTAAGACTGAACTCGGCACCTTGAGCTGAGCTGCTGCCCGGATGGCTCCGTGGATACAGCGTGTGCTCTTAACAACAAGACTGCTGGTTCGACTCCCACATGGGATGGTGGCTACGCCCACCAGCAACTAAGATTGTAACACAGCACCTTGAGTTTAGAGGCCACGAGCTGCCGACGGGCAGCCAGATGGCAGCTGGCGCTCTCCACAACTAAGACTGAAGAACAACTTGGCTGGTCCCCCTTCCCCAATTTCCCAACACTGTACCCCTCCCCCAATTCCTCAATTAAAAAAAAAAGGAAAACAGAGAAGTATTTTATTTGCCTCAGACAGGAGGAAATGGTACAAGTAAATATGTAATACAATTGATATAAAAAATAGCTATTATTTATTGAATGCTTATTTTGTGCCAGGCACTATTCTAAAGGCTTTACATGGACTTTACTTAATCCTTACTAAGAAAGATTAAATTGTCCAAGACCGCCCAGGTAGAGAAGCAAGATTTGAACTCAAGCAGTCTGATTCTAAATTTCTAGTCCTTAACGTTTCACATTATAATGTAGGTGGGGCGGAGTTGACACCTATTAGCTTCCATTTTCTTTGTGATTTTGGAGGCAAGGTCATCTGTGAAACAGGTTTGGGGGAGAGGATGAGTTAAGATGGTGAGGTTTCAGGAGAGCCACTTAGGGGAATGTGAAAGGAAGCTCCCGAGAGGACTGCTGGGAGGTGCTCATGGGCTATAGCTGCATAGGACATCAAAATACTTGTAGACACTGAGGGGGTTCACAACAGTGCCCCCTTCCCCCCCAAGATGTGCTACTTTGGCATGTGAATTATTTTGAGCTAAAGGCAACTGAGACCTTGTGGATGCAGGGGAGACTTTTACCTCTCCATTAAAGAATTTAAATTTGGGGCCTTGTCCATAAGAGTTATTACCAGACATAACTTTTCATGACCTATCTTTAGGGCAAGGCACATTTCTAATTACTGAACATCTGCTTTTCTTATCATCCTAAGAATGACCTTCCTCCCCAAGGCATTTTAACCTCATCCTTGGCTCAGAATGTCCTATATGCGTCATTTCACCTGTATCTGAACCTCTCGTGTCTGTGGGGTTCCCATACATACCTACATAATGAAATTTGGTTATTTTCTCTTATTAATGGCTTATATTGATTTATTAGACCAGTCAGAAAAAGAGCCTGGAAAGAAAAAAATTTCATCCTCTCCCACAAGTATGTCACAATAAAAATCTCTTACATTTTGTTACTTAATTGGGACCTTCAGCCTTAAGAAAGAACAGTGGGAGAGGAATAAGGGGGCTAATTTTTATCCCTCTTCCGCAGGGTTTCTCACATTGTATTAAAACCGTTTATTAGTCCAGTTTTCCTCTAGACCCTAGGCCATTTCTCTTAATCACCACTGTATCTGTGAGCAAGTAGAACGTGTTCCATAAACGGTTGGTAAATTAAAAGTGTAAGCAGCCTGAGGGTGGATTTTCCTTTGACTCCAGCTTAAGGAAGAATCGTTTCTTATGTTCACCTCATAATCAATCTAAACTGCTCAGAGGAAAACTGCTGGCCACCGAGGCACAGCTCCCGTCCAGACGAACGTTTCCCGAGTGTCTACTGCGCGCCAAACGTCCAGCTGGTCAGGGCGCACAAACTAGGCACCAGAGCTCGCAGTCTCAGCTCCATTTCCACGCCAGCGCTTCAGGTTTTCTTGTTTGACCTGCCTTCCTGATAAGTTGCTTTAAAACTCACTGAAACATCAAACGCTCTCCTTATGTTTTCTTTTTTCAACGTTTGGTGCCCAGCTCGCCGTAGGATATCCCAGCCCCGGGAGCAGACCGCCGCTGGCCGTGGCCTCACGTCGGCATGCGGAACGGAGGCGGCGGTGTGCAGCGATCGCGTGGGGTTGCGACCGGTCTGGCCCCAAGACGCTGCCGCGCTCCAAGGGCGTCCAGCCTCCCCGGAATAAAGGGCACCGACGGCCCCGCCCCTACCTGTACGCCGCATCGCCGCGAGCAACAGTCTCCGTTCTGAGTGGGACAGCCAGACATGGCCCAGACTAGGTGGACCCCGCGGCCTTCTATATTCGTACGGTTTAGCTCCCCGTGTTCCACCTAGGGTAAAACAGCAAGGCCGCAAGTGCAATCAGGCGGCGCTGAGGGCAGCCCAGGGGCGGGACGGACAAGGCGAAGGGCGGGGCTTCGCTGACCAGAGAGCCAGCGGTGCAGCCGCTTGACAGGGAGGCGGGGCCAACGAGGTTGGAGGAGGAGCTAGGAGGGCTTCTTGACTCCAAGACTCAAAGGCGCGGCTGGCGCTTACGGGGCGTGGCCAACAGAGTAGGAGGCGGGGCCTGAGGGGTCCTGATGACAGAGCGATCAGGCTGTGCGGCTACAGCCTGTGAGAAGGCTGGGAAGATGGCGGCCTCCTGGAGGCTAGGCTGTGACCTGCGGATGCTGCGCTATCTCCTAGGCTTCGGCGGCGGGAGAGGCCTGGGGCTGGCTAAGGGGGCTACTGGGTGGTCTTTTGGCCGAGGAGCTAGTTGGAGATGGTTTCACAGCACGCAGTGGCTGCGGGGTGAGTGACCGGGGTTCGCTTAGCTTTTTTCTGTAGCAGTGGGCCTGGGTCAGGGTCTTTTTTGATTGAGGGCCTGCATTTGGGTGTGGAGGTATTCGGGGCTCCCTGTTCCCTTGGCCTTTCCTTGGGGAGGGGTCCTTTGATTTGGCCGCCTGATAAGTGCATGCGGTCAAGGGCTTTCTTGGGAGCTGGGAGAAGAATCTGACTCCGTCTCTGGCCCCCTTGTTGGTATACCTTCTTTGACCTTGCCTTGGAATTTGGGGTTTTTTTGTGAGGTGCGGAGATAGGTCCTTAAAGCCCTTCTCTCACGTACCCCCCTAGGCACGTCTCAGGTTCCTTTAGAGCTGTTAAGCATCTCTGTTGGGGAAAAGCTGCTCAAGGTTGCTGAGATTCAAAAGCCACTCGTAGCTGGTATTATTCATTCTCTTGGCTCGTCTCTATTGGAAGATCTTTTCTTCTAGACCACTCGGGCTGCCCGGCAACTAGTAAAGTACTTAATTTGCAAATGCCTACCTCATCACAGACAGGTCTGGCAAAATATGAGCACGAAAGCGTGAAAATTTAGGATGGGAATCATACCATGAAGTTTATTGTAGAAAACTGGCTTTTAGTAATGATATCGACACAATTAACAATTCTTCTGGTATTTTACAGTAAGTAATATAGTATTTTTATTTACATAGGATGGGGTGGGGTTATAGGGCTAACTTTTTTTAAAGTGATGCATTACCTGCCAAACATTGCCACTCCACAGAATGAATTTTAATCTAAAAAATTATGTGCAGTAAACATTGCCTACATATCTATCCTGGGCTGCCTGAGGCCCAGAAAAAAACAAGTTACACATAGTCACATGGTAAGATGAATTCACTGAGATTTCTAAAGCTTTGGTGATGGGAACAATTTATTTCAGTTTTTTCAGATTAATGTTTCATAAAATACTACTTGGAACAGTGGTTCTTTAACTGTATATAGCATTCCCTTTCCTCCCTCCCCCAGTCTGTTAAAATTGAACTTGCCTACAACTCTCAAGAGATTGTGTCTGGGTTGGAGCTCAGCAATCTGCATTTTACAGACAGCCTTAGATGAGTTTTGATGTTTTATGTTGTTTTTTGATGGGCTACACTTTGAGACTCACTGCCTTAGAAAATCATGGAATAGTATAAGTTCAGTGTTGGAAGTAATCTAGGAAGAGTGTTTTTAACCTTGTTTGTACAACAGATCCTTTTGAGAATATTTGAATGTTCTAGATCCTCTAAGAGAAAGGGCATATGTGGTTACACACAAAAATGTTCATGCAGGTTTAGGTGTTTTCCTTAGACCCAGTTTAAGGACTCCTGTCTTTAGAAACTCACTTACTGCAATCCTTATCTGATAATATCATGACATTTTACCTACCCTCCTTCCACCCCCACCCCTCGCCCCCACACACACACCATGAAGAATTTGTCTAACTCTGGTTGAACATCATCTATAAGGGAGAGGACACTATATCCCAAGGAAGCTGTATTAGTTTCCTAGTGCCTTCCTCTTTCACATATAAGGACCCTTGTGTTTATTACATAGGCCTCACCTGGATAATACAGTATGCTGATGCTCTCCCCGTCTCAAGGTCAGCAGTTTAGCAACCTTAATTTCCTCTTGCTATGTAACATAACATTCACAGGTTCTGGGTGTTAGGACCTGGACATCTTTTGGGAGTAGGGAGGCTGTGGATGTCAGTTCTGCCTACCACAGAAGCGGTGTGTTGTTAAATAGTTCTAAATTATTTGGAAGTTTTGGAAGTTTTTTCTAATACTGAGCCAAAATTTGTCTCCTGACTTTTTCACCTACAAGCTTTTGTTTTGCCATGCTGAATACATGTGGCTATTCTCGAGCTATCTGTTTTACAAAGCATGACTTTACATGCTGTTTGTTCATTTTTTTCTGAGTTTGGTAGAAATTGTTTCATAAAACTAAGCAATTATTTGGTGATCTATACACTAGATCACTATAAATACACTATAAATTATTGAATGATTTCCTTTTTTTCCTCACGTATCTATCCAGGATTTAAACATCTGTTAGATGGAAGTACACTTGGAGTTTTGGTTTCCATAAAAGATGTTTATTGTCAGCATTTTTATGAGCTATGGCATATGCTATGTGCTTAGCACTTCCTGGAATTCCTATTCTCTTTCCACAACAACCTGGTAAAGTTGGCATTAACTGATTTCACTGGACAAAAATACTAAAGCTCAGAGAATTTAAGTGGGTCTCCCAAAGCCACACAGCTATGATGGTAATGAACTGAAGAGGATATATATGTATACCAGGGGTGTGAAAAAAATGTATACACATTTTAAGAAAAGA